GGCTTACTTATTGCTTTATTTATTTACTTATTTATTTATGTAACTCCAAGGGCGTCACCCCCATTTTCTACCCATCCTCCCCAATAAAGTTTTTATAAAGGAATTCCTGTCTCCGCTTCTGTTTCTGCAAGGTGGAACAAGCCCAGGGTTCCAATGTGACCTCCCGAGTTATTCATTCAAAAAGCGATTTTTGAGGGGGCCGGGCATAGTGGCTCAAGCCTGTAATCCCAGGACTTGCGCGAGGCCCAGGTGGGAGGATCCCTTGCACCTAAGAGTTTCAGACAAGCCTGGGCAACATAGGGAGACCCTAAAAAAAATGTTTTTCAAAAATTAGCCAGGCCCGGGTATGGTGGCTCTTGCTTGTAATCCCAGCACTTAGGGAGGCCAAGGCGGTGGGTCACTTGAGGTCAGGAGTTCGACACCACCCTGTCCAACATGGTGAAACCCCTTCTCTACTAAAAAAAAAATGAGTTGGGTGTGGTGGTGTGAACCTGTAATACCAGCTACTCGGGAGGCTGAGGCAGAAGAATGGCTTGAACCTCGGAGGCAGAGATTGCAATCAGCTGAGATCATAACACTGCACTCCAGCCTGGCTACAGAGCCAGACTTCATCTCAAAAAAAAAAAAAAAGAAAAGCTGGGCGGTAGTGGCACACCTGTCCCAGGTAGTGCCTGTAATCCCAACTACTCAGGAGGCTGAGGCAGGAGAATTGCTAGAACCCGGCAGGTGGAGATCTTGCCACTGCACTTCAGCCTGGGCGACAGAACTAGACTCTATCTCAGGAAAAAAAAAAATGTGGGCCGGGTGCAGTGGCTCACGCCTGTAATCCCAGCACTTTGGGAGGCCTAGGCAGGTGTATCACCTGAAGTCGGGAGTTCGAGATCAGCATGACCAACATGGAGAAACCCCAACTCTACAAAAAATACAAAAAATTAGCTGGATGTGGTGGGAGGGGTGCCTGTAATCCCAGCTACTCAGGAGCCTGAGGCAGGACAGTCGCTTGAACCTGGCAGGTGGAGTTTTTGGTGAGCCGAGATAATGCTATTGCACTCCGGCCTGGGCAACAAGATCAAAACTTCATCTAAAAAAAGAGTGTTGGCCAGGTGTGGTTGTTCATGCCTATAATCCAAGCACTTTGGAGGCCAAGGCAGGCAGATTACCTGAGGTCGGGAGTTCAAGACCAGCCTGACCAACACGATGAAACACTGTCTTTATTTAAAAAAATAAAAAATAAGTGTTTTTTGTGGGGGCCAGGCATGGTGGCTCAGGCCTGTAATCCCAGGACTTTTGGGAAGCCCAGGTGGGAGGATCCCTTGTGCCCACAAGTTTCAGACCAGCCTGGGCAACATAGTGAGACCCTGCAAAAAATATTCCCCCAAAAAATTTTTTTGAGATGGAGTCTCACTCTGTCACCCAGGCTGGATTGCAGTGGTATAATCTCGGCTCACTGCAACCTCCGCCTCCCAAGTTTAAGCAATTCTCCTGCCTCAGCCTCACAAGTAGCTGGGACTATAGGCATAATGTTTGTATTTTTAGTAGAGACGGGGCTAATTTTTGTATTTTTAGTACAGATGAGATTTCACCATGTGGGCCAGGCTGGTCTCGAACTCCTGACCTGAGGTGATCCACCTGCCTCAGCCTCCCAAATCACTGGGGATCACAGGTGTGAGCCACTGTGCCCAGCCTATTTTTCAAAAATCAGCCAGACATGGTGGTGCATGCCTGTAGTCCCAGCTACTTGGGAGGCTGAGGCAGGAGGATCCTTTGAGCCCAGGAGGTCGAAGCCACTGCTAGCTATGATATCGCCATTGCACTCCAGCCCAGGTGACAGAGCAGGACCCTGTCTCTAAAAACAAACTACAACAAAAAAAACAAAAACTTTTTTTTTTTTTTTTTGAGATGGAGTCTTGCTCTGTTGCCAGGCTGGAGTGCAGTGGCACAATCTCGGCTCACTGCAACCTCTGTCTCCTGGATTCAAGCGATTCTCCTACCTCAGCCTCCCGAGTAGCTGGGATTACAGGTGCCTGCCACCACACCTGGCTAATTTTCTTTTTGCATTTTTGGTAAAGACAGGGTTTCACCATATTGGTCAGGCTGGTCTTGAACTCCTGACCTCATAATCTGTCTGCCTCAGTCTCCCAAAGTGCTGGGATTACAGACATGAGCCACCTCGCCCAGCCCCCAAAACTTTTTTTGAACACCTACTATATGTCAGGCACAATCCAAGATGTCTTTTTTCAGCATGACCTAGAGCTTATCATCTCTCGGTGCCTGTTTCCTGCTGTCTTTGAACTCCTGGGGAGGGGTGGGGGCCTAACTCCTCCCTCCTCCTCCCTGCCACTTATCTCTTCCGCCCAGCACTGCCCTCTGGTCCGGGTCACTCTAGAAGGTGGGAGCTAGGTGCTTTCCCCAGGCCTGGTTACCGGCAGAGCTGAGGCCGCCTTGCCAAGATGGGTGGAGCCCCTCTCCATCGCCCCCCTGCCCTGAGACCTTGGTGAGACCTCCCTGGGTGGGCGGTGGCTGATGCTATGGGTGTCAGCCCTCACCGTGTCACCCCTGTTAAAGGGTGCACCCCTGCCCCACCCTCAAAGCATCCTTCGTCCTGTGTCCACCCACAGTGCCTCAGTTTACCCCCACCCTGCCTTTCCACTCGGCCCATCATGATTCAGAACACACGAAGGGTATCCGCTGCACCCCCATCACACGGCATCATCCGCCTCACCCCCAACAGCATAAGGCACGGCAGCTGGGCCTCCTCCCCCCCAGCCTCCTTCTCTCCCCCTCCTCCCTCAAAAGTAGGAACACAGAGCCCTGGAGAAGGAAGCCAGCCCCAGGCAAACATGTAATGAGCAAAGATGAGACAGGGAAATGACACAAGAGAGCAGGCCAGTGCTGGGTGCTGGAGCCAAAAAGAAGCCAAAAAGGCACCAGCCAGGGGCAGCCCTGCCACTCACGCCACCTCAACTTTTCTGCCTGTGCCCCCGCCCCACCCCACTTAATGATCTCTCTCCACTCCTGCTGCCCTCAAGGTCTCTTTTAGAGCCTTCAGATGAGATATTGATTTTATTAGGTTGGCGCAAAAGTAATTGCTGTTTTTGCCATTGAAAGTAATGGCAAAGGCCAGGCTTGGTGGCTCATTGCTGTAATCCCAGCACTTCGGGGGGCTGAGGTGGGCAGTTCACAAGGTCAGGAGTTCGAGACCAGCCTGGATAACATGGTGAAACCCTGTCTCTACTAATAGTACAGAAAAAAGTAGCTGGGCATGGTGGCACGCACCTGTAATCCTAGCTACTTGGGAAGCTGAGGCAGGAGAATTGCTCGAACCCTGGAGGCAGAGGTTGCAGTGAGCTGAGATTGAACCACTGCACTCCAGCCTGGACCACAGAGTGAGACTCCGTCTGGGTGGCAGCAGGGGGTTGGTGGGGAGGGAGAAAGTCATGGCAAAAACTGCAATTGCTTTTTTTTTTGTTTTTTTTTTTTTCTTTTCTTTCTTTTCTTTTTTTTTGGAGGGGGGGCATGAGCCTCACTCTATGGCCTAGGCTGGAGCGCATGGCATGATCTTGGCTCAGTGCTGCCTCTGCCTCCAGGGTTCAAGAGATTCTCCTGCCTCAGCCTCCCAATGAGATTACAGGCACTCACCACTACACTCGGCTAATTTTTGTATCTCTAGTAGAGATGGGGTTTCACCATGCTGGCCAGGCTGGTGTCGAATTCCTGATCCACCCACCTCAGCTTCCCCAAATGCTGGGATTACAGGCAAGAATGAGCCACGGCACCCAACTTTTTTTTTTTTTT